TCAAGCTTTCTGAGCTTTCTGCGTGAAAAAATGGTAGCCTTGAATGGTAGAGGGATGGATAGCGAAGTGGAAACTCGATTCACCATGAGAAGGTGATTTCGATACTCATTACCGTTGATACATTATGCTCACGCAGGTATCATAAAGAAATCCTTTACGGAGCCTTCAAGACATGTTCAAACGTGATGACATGTCGACCCATTCAAAAGTACTTTTGCGCAGATAAGATGTACCGTCAGAATAAGGAGACACTCCAACACCAGGAGCCGTAAGCAGAGTGTCGTTGGAACTACATCCATCATCAGGTCTAGCACATTCTCCAGGATACATGCCAGGGCAGCAGCATCTTCACCATCAGGGGCAAGACATCACGGCATCACAAAAGACGACTCTGACTTTTGACGGCAGACACATCTGCTGTTGGAATAAGACGATGAGCAAGGCGTTAGCTAGCTTCTTCGCTTATGTGTAAGAACCGGCCTGGTACCGCTGCAAGCTGCAGATGCTACTGTTCCACGACCACCGTCGACGTGCCGTCACGGTACCGCCGTACTGCCGGCCTTGGCAACCAACCTCGACGGCAACAACATAAGCCGGCAGCCGAGAGGGCGTTCCATCGGGAAGACCTAGAATGAATTCAAACCGCCTTAATGCCTGTACAAGCCCGCTCGATAGAGAACGCTTTTATAAACACGTACAGCCCAAGAAAGCCGTCCGTCACTGCATGCCATGCGGTATACAGCAGCTGCAGCGCCCAAATTATCAACGGGATGGGCAACGGGCAGTCGTCACTGCTCTGCGAACGGTGGCTCCACGGCCCGGAGAGGCGTGCGGTAATGAACCGGGAAAAGCAGAAATGACACGGAGGCGTCAACTTGGGAACGGCAACGCTAACGACGTGGGCGGCGCATGGTGAAACACGATCTCAGCAAACTGCAGGTTTGCAGATAGAGTCGAAATCGGCGGGGCCCGATAGATTGAGGAGAAACTTGCCGCAAGCCACCCTGAACCCTGTTTGTTGTGCGCGAACATATAGCTAAGAAATGGGCACGCCAGTTCGTGAGCATCGCCACCCTCGCGACAAGTGGATGAGCGGGCGGATGAAATGGCTTGTGCTCGAGAAAAGGGTCCTGAGAACGGGGTACATGCAAGTACAATGTCTCACAGAATATTTGGCAAGCCGATCTGATTATCACTTTAGTCTTGCCTCGAGTGCTTTGGGGAAGTTTTCAGAATGTCATCGACTTATGTGATCGAGGAAACTTGGCTTTGATGAAAGGAGATATGCTTTTGCGATTTGTAAATGCCGAGACAGCGATTGGGGGGCGGGATTGAATTGCAACGCTTCCGCGATGCCAAAGGTTTTGAATGGCGATAAGAGAATATGCACTATATACCCCAAGATGGGGATGAACGCTGGTATAAGCGCTGCGCACGCGGGTTCGCTGCGATAATCAAACATGAGTATCGCAGGGTTCAGGGACGAAGCCTATTGACCTGCGGGGATCGTCTGCGCGGAAGTCACACGAACCGATGAGGAGCATGTCGAGATGCGAGACGTTGGAGCACATGTGTTCTAGAACCCATTTGACATCGAAATTTGGATCGCATCAGTCTGAAAAGGGCTGTGACATGCAGCGCGAGGCATGGGCAGAAGAGTTATTGGGTTTCACGGCCAGAGTAGTGATGGGTAGCCCAATTTCCAGGAGCTGCCAGCAGCTAGTGGACTGCCCTTCATATCGGAATCGATCATCTGCAATTCGAGACATTTCTGTAGAGAAGAAACGGCCTGTTGCTCGCCCGCCTTCCCGTCCAGGCGACATGGGATGATGGGATCGGCGAACGAGCGAAACCCCTATTTCTTGCGTTTGACCCCGGAGAAATCCAAGAAAACTCTGTGAGCGCACGGTCGATTGCGAATGGGTTTTGAGTTCTGGATGGCTGCAAGTCGCGCTATGGAGGGGTTGGAATGATTGCATGCACGTTTGCCAGCTTTTCGAAAGGGCCTGGTGGCCTTGCGATGTCAGTGTCGCTCCGCAGCAGGGGAAGACAGGACGACGATGTCGGTAGGCTGAGACGGCGCGTTGGTACGACGCATAAGGTTTGGGGTGGGATTGGCGGGACGGACGATCAATGCCTAGAGACGGGAGGTGATTTGGTCGGATTCGGCCTGTTCATCTCGAGGATTTGCAGGTGCCCTCACAAACGTCTGAGGGCTCCAGAGTCTAGAGGGTCATGTTCGTACATCGTGGAACTGTTGCTGAACGCGTAATGATTCACAAACGTCATGGTGCGGAGGGCCAGAGATCCAATCGTGGGAGGCGACGTGAAGTACCAGTAATGTATAAGTGAGACTGAGACCTCGTACCGGCTGGCTCGGGACGTTGACCTAGAGGCTCAAAGCCCGCTCCATGGCGTCCATTCCTAGTGAGCGTGAAGCAAAAGAAGGTTCCGAGTTTCGACCCGAGCCTTGCTATAGAGGCATTGGATGGCCTTGATGCCTCGTAGTGTTTTTGATCTTCACGCCCACGGTCTCGATCGTGAACATGTCTAGTTAGCTCATCTGCATTATAGCGGCTGTTCATTGCGTCCCCTAGGGTACGAAAACGCAAACAGTGCTCCGTTTTGCGCCGACTTCTTTTGTTGATCTGCCTTTGCGGAAGAGGGAGCAGTGTTAAACAAGGACGGAAAGCGGATGGACTGGTGCAGAGCTGTCACGTATCAGAAACCGGCGGGACTGGCAGGCCTCGGTCGGAAGTATATTTTCTGCCGGCCTCTCGGGCCATGACCTGGATGCGTTCCCATTGGGTGCGCGATATGTGTCCGGTTGGTAATGGTGAGAAGACGCCCAAAGTGAGAGGGCTTTTCCCGGGATCGTGCACCGTAGTGGCCGTTGTGTGTCGTGCGGAAGGGCCGCTAGGGCAAGCAAGCGTCTTCCGAGTCTCTTGAATCAGCCAATCCTCAAGTTTGTAGAGGCACTTGCGCGTGTGCTGTGGTCTGGGTTCGCATGAACCGTGGATGCTGGCTAGATGGCGCAGAAGAAAAAGCAATGCGCTTCTTGTTGGTGCAGTAATCTTTCGATTGTTCGCAATCAACTGCAGGCGGACGGGGCGAAAGATCCATGGTTGATAGAAACCTCCCCCCACGAATGACCCGTCGTCGCCTTGGGCCTATCTTTTGGGGGTTCAATTAGACCTCTGCAGAGCAATCTTTGCGAGAAACAAGAACCATGGCACCGGAGGTCTCTTGTCACGACATCTCAGACTGGAGTGTTCTCTAGCCGATCCTGTTCCTCGGACAAGTCAGAAAATCTCCATGTCTTTGCGGATACGGATACCGAGGGCATGGGACGTGGAGGATCCGAAGAGGTTTCCGGATAAGGGTTCCAGAAAGAGAACGAGGCGACCCGAAGTACCGGCACAAGGGTGGACAGTGTTGCTCTGTTGTTTCACTCAAGTTATTGCTTGTTTTTTTCTTCGCAGAGCAGCGATCCGTAGTTGTCGCTGCAACGGTTGTGGTCGAAGGGGGCCGAACACACAATCAATCCACTGGTGACTGGGTGGGTGGAGGAGGTGCCGTGTCAATGTCACATTGAGCGTCTTAGAAATCGGGTGTTTTTTTCCACTGGTTTTTTTTTTCCTCTGTCTCTTTGAGAGGCGCTGGTCCCTGCGTCAGGTGTGGAGGCCACACGGTTCATGTACGGATACCTTATCCCGCGCCTTCCAGGAGTGTAAGTTAAGGTACCTTCCTTCAAGATGTGTGGGGGCGTACCTACAGGTACTCTTTACCTTACCTTAGGTACTGAGTAGGTATTTAGGCACATACGCAGTAGGTAGTGGAAGGTGCGGAGTACCTAGGTCTGCCTCACTTTCCGGAATGGTTGTGTCTTAAGTGCTCCGTACCTACCTTAAGTCTGCTGCGGAAGGGGAGAGGTACCTTGTGCCTTGCAGGCAGGTGGGCAATTTGAAGTTGGTTCCTGCCTCCACGATCCAGTCTCGCGTGGTGCCTTCCTGCATTGCTGCCCGCCCTGGACCGGTCGATTTGGTGCTTCGTTGTCGATTGGCAGTCGCGCTCTTGCCTCCCGTCTTGTGCAGCAGACCAAGCAGCCCTCCACGTCCCTCCTGCTCGTTTCTTGACAGACCACAAACGAAGATAACTGGGGTCTGAGATGACTAAGACCTGATCAGGCAAGGCGTCTTTCTGAAGTGCCCCGCTTGGCATCCCCCCGGCCCACCCCTGGTCTGAATGTCGAGTCTAAGTGGCTTGGCCACTTCCGCTCGGTCGCTGCCCCACCTTTCGCTTCCTTCCCCTTCTGCACTTTCTTTCCTTTCGCTGTGCATCGCTTTTCGTTGGATGGAAAATGGTGGTGGTTTTTGAAGCTATCGAGACAAGGTAGCGAATAAACGGCATTCCACATCATTTACACAATAATTGGCATCAAGGCCGGGCTTGCAGTCGTCGACGTCGGTGGCCTCTAGCTCTCACAAGCGGAAAGAAGAAAGAAAAGGCCAGCAGCCGTACACTGGCACGACTGGATCAAAGCTCTGCTACGGAATGCAGTCAAGAAAAAGGGAAGCCCGGGATAACACGGCCCTCTCTCATCAGTGGATGGACCATCCCATCTTATCCTGCCCATTCCATGATCCATCCAATCCCCTGTCCTGGACCCTGGCTTTGTATCGCTAGAGTCAGGACCGGACTCTCTGCCGTTGCCTCTCTGGATATTGCAGCTGGAGATAGGTCTTGCCAATAGTGATGGCTTCTCGATAATTAAGCACTTAAGCTAAGGTCGACAGCAATAAGACCGGCATAGACTGGGACTGGGACGAGCGGTCTAGAGAATTTCAACGTCCTTTGCCGAGTCTTATTTATTCTTCTATTCATGATACGAGGTACTAGGTAATTAGGTAACTTGTCATTGTTTAATGGCTATGCGAGGTGACGAGTTTGGGGGAACTAGACGAGGAACTCATTGTTTGTGCCTCTCCTCCTGCCACTCAATGCTCCCATTCATTGCTCTTTCCGTGCCAAAACCTCCCATTCCGCGAGGTGCTCCTGGCACGTCCAAAGTACTTTACCGAGTACAATTGGCAAGAAGGAACGTCAATCACTCAGCCGTTTCGTTCTTTCCTCTTTTCCTTCATTCCACCCGTGATTACAGGTACGAAGAACTTCTTCCTGTCTACCGCCTCCCTTCCTTCTGTGACCCGTGGACTAAGGTATTCATCTTTCGCCATTTTTGCTCTTTCCCCCTCACCATTCTCCTGCAGTCCTCCTCCTCTCCGACTACATACATCCTTTTTCCCCCACAACCCACCTGGCAGGCAGTCATCCGGTCGGATATCGCGACTCAGAAGCGGTCCATACCTGTCACGACGATCCGCCGGGGATTATTTCGCACTCGACCTGATTCAGTCCAGAAGCAGCAACAGACAGGAGTCCCCCAAGTCGGCCCCCCCTTGAGCCCTTCTGCTGCCATTCCCGAATCGGCCCAGGAGACATTCGACTGTGAGAACGGGCGCATCCGTCACATCTCGCGCCACCCAATCACAGCACACCATCGACGCGCTCCTAATTTGCGAGACATCCACACCACACCCCCGGCCTGTCTGCTGCGTTCTATGTACTTTCTGCTGCCAGCCTGGGTACGGAGTACCTACCATAGTGCCACCTCTTCGACTCTGTCGACACTTCTTTCGCCTCTGGAGAATAAACACGACTGACGGTTGGGTTCCCCTGTTCCTTCTCTCGACCTCTCCTCTAGGTACCTTACTCTCCCACCCCTGGCCCTCGCCAGTCTAACCATTCCCAGGTCCCAGTCCGGCCCAGTCCAGTGTGAGGTGTCTGCCACAAGGAGGCGGACTCGGCACAGAAGAGCAGTCCACCACAGCATTGCGAACCCCCAATCCCAATTCGCCGTCTACCTGAGTAGCTTGTCCACGCATGCCCCCTCCACACTGCTCGGCCAGCAGAACCCGCAACAAAACACTCCAACATCCCGGGCTACCCTTTCCTACGAATATCTCCAACAATCTCGCGCGCGTCCCAAGCAACGCCAGACAACGCATTGCTCCCGCAACGCAACACGACGACGGGCTCCCAGAGAGCCATAGGCGACCCGTCCTTGCTGTTGCTTGTTTTTATTTTGCTTCCTCGACATTTCGATACGATACTCGGTACCATATGACGCCTTTGTTCTTTCACTTCCACCGAGCTGCTGTTGCTGCGCTGCCGCTTTTGTGGTGAATCCGAAAAAAAAAAGAGTAGCCTTCCATCACTCCTTCACAGCCAACGCAAAATACACAATTCGCCGCCCCACGATAGCATAAGAAGTAGTGCACCGGAAACAGCTTCTCTTCCCCTCTACGGACAGATAGGACCCTCCACACGCTCGCGCAATCCGTCACCCGTCGATTCGATCACACTTTTGAGACAACGGCACAACTGCACCAGATACCGAACAGTGCTTCATACCCTCCGCATACAGGGTTCGAGCCTGGGGATCAGGACTGCACAATCCCGACACCCCGTTCGTTCTACCGTTTGCCTTGCGCGCGATTAACCTTATACAAGGAGGAACGCATTCCGCTCGCGCACCCGATCCGAGAAACCCCTTCCTCTCTTTCGCTTCCCCATCATGGCCAGCTCACCGCCGGCCTCCCCTGGGAATCATCTGCCCCAAAGACCGCTGAGCGCAATGGTGCGACCATCACCACGGAGCAACAGCCGTCTGAGCATGACGAGCAAACATGGCGGTGGCAGCAAAGCCTCCGACGAAGACTCCCGGACGGCCGTCAAAGTCGGTAAGTGTGCCAGCTCCCATCTCCGGTGCTGTTCGTCACTTGTCTGAACATTGCGCGGCACCTCCCCTTTCATGCCGGCGTATCATCACATCGCTAACCTCGTTCCCTTTCTACGTAGCCGTGCGTGTTCGACCGCCTCTGAAACCCACAGATCCAGGCTACGAATTAATTCCTCAAAGATTTCAAAGATCCATGGCTCAGGTGACATCGAACACGAGCTTGGCAATCGACTCACCACAAGGAAGGAAACTCTTCGTATTTGATCGCGTTTTTGGCTCCGACGTTGAACAAGAAGGCATTTGGGACTACTTGCAGGATTGCGTCGGCGCTTTCATCCAGGGCTACAATGTGTCGCTGTTGGCGTATGGCCAGTCTGGCGCGGGAAAGTCGTACACGATGGGTACATCAGGTCCTATCGATCAGGACGACCTCGAGGTGATGGGTTAGTTACACTGCGTCGTGTTACCGTCCTACTCGGTTATCTGCGAAGCTCTCCGGCTTCTACAAACCCCCAAGCTGACCTTGTTCTTAGGCGTTATCCCCCGAGCGGCGACGGCTTTGTTCGAAAAGCTCGACGGCCCGAAGAAGCAAGCGAATCGTGGCTCCATGTCTCAGCTGAGAGCACCACACAGATACTCCGCCCAACCAACATCGACCTCAGCAGCGGACAGGACATGGTCTTTGAAAGCAACATACCTCGAAATCTACAACGAGCAACTGCGCGATCTGCTTCTTCCTGACCACGTTCCACAACACGAGCGTGGCAACGTCACAATCCGCGAAGATGTCAAGGGGAACATTATCCTTACCGGCCTGCGACAGGTTGAAATTAACTCAGTGGAGGACCTCATGAATGCATTGAATTTCGGCTCAACCCTCCGACAGACAGATGCGACGGCCATTAACGCCAGGTCTTCCCGGTCCCACGCCGTGTTCAGTCTCAACTTGGTGCAGCGGAAGAGCGGCCTGCAGGGCTCAAATGGGGCCGAAAAGCGTTTCTCCGTGCCCATCGAAGCTATGACGGGATCCGAGACCTGGGTTACCACAGACAGCAAGCTCCATTTTGTCGATCTGGCAGGTAGTGAGCGGCTGAAGAACACTGGCGCACAGGGCGAGCGTGCCAAGGAAGGTATTTCTATCAACGCTGGCCTGGCTGCGCTCGGAAAGGTCATTTCACAGCTCTCATCACGACAGGCCGGGTCACACGTCTCTTATCGCGACTCCAAACTCACCCGTCTACTCCAAGACTCGCTCGGTGGAAATGCCATCACGTACATGATTGCCTGCGTGACGCCTGCCGAGTTCCATCTCAGCGAAACATTAAACACCGTCCAATATGCACAGAGGGCCCGAGCCATCCAAAGTAAGCCACGGATTCAGCAGGTGGAGGAGGGTGACAAACAGGCCATCATTGATCGTCTGAAGGCGGAGGTTGCCTTCCTGCGCGAGCAAGTCCGCAGCGCGGAGCGAGGCGGGGGCGAGAGGCGCATCGCCTCCACGGGCGAGCGGTCTGAGCGACAAAATGAGCGTGAAAGCGAACTGCAAAATCAGCTTCTGGACGTCCAAGAAAACTACACGACCCTGAGTCAACGTCACGCGAAGCTTATTGCTGAGATGGCTAAGGCCCGCGACAATGAAGCTGCCGAGAACAATCAACACGAGGAGTCCATGGGTGACACGGCTACAGAGAGACTGAATCGATCAAACTCATTCGCTGCTGCAGTCGAGCAAGTCGTGCTCGAGTACGAGAAGACCATTCAAACTCTGGAGCAATCGCTATCCAGCACGCGCGGCACACTCGCCAATACCGAGGCAAATCTGCTAGAAAAAGAGACCAAGTGCACGTACATTGAGACCATCAACACACAGCTACAGGCGCGTTTGCAAAAACTCATGGATCGGGAAGCGAGTACGGAAAATTACCTCCACGACCTGGAGAATAAGCTGGACGGCCACACCTCTGGGGAGGAAAAGAACACGACGATTATTGTGGAACTTCGCAAGGAGATCTCGCGGATCAGAGAGAACGAAGCCTCTTGCGAGGACTACATTTCTACCTTGGAGGAGCGACTCGCCGAGGCCGACCAGGATGCCGAGCTGATGCAGCGTGAAATTGATCGACTAGAGCAGGTGATTGAGCGCCAGCGAAGTCTCGGAAAGCTGGACTCTCTGCTTCACGAGCTGGACCACATTCAAGGCGATAGCAAAGTTCCAGAGCCAACTGCCGAAGCATCGAACGGCGTTACGCGCCAAATTGCTGACCACACTCGTAGCCAGTCTCAGTCGCGTGTTATCCGCATGAGCCAGAATGATATCATTCCTGAGCATGCCGAAGAAGAAGCCGCGGCGGCAGCTGAGGCAACAGGTCCCGCTCAAAACGGCGATCACATCGAAAATGGCACCAATGTTGTGACACCTGATGCGAAGGAGAACCTTCAGGCTGATATCAACGACTACCCACCTCACAGCCCTGCTCAGTCCAAATTTGTGCACGACAAGCTGGAGAACGTCACTCAGGAGCTCATCGACTTAAGGGTAGAGCATGAGACCACGGTCAACGAATACGACCTTCTGCACTCCAAGTACGAGGAAGCCCTACGCACTTTGGCAGAGCTTCAGGACACTATCGACGAGTCTCGCCACCCCGAACGCAAGGTCCGAGATTCTATGATGTCTGTCACTTCTCCCAACCTGACTCGACCACCCTCGTTCTTCTCCGACGCCAGGTCGAGTGATCTCAAAGACGGCGGCCAATTTTCATCACGCTCTCTTTCATCGGAGCTTTCGTCGGCGTTGGAGTCGCCTGCCACCATTGATCCGTCTGATGCCGAGACATCAGTGACTGCAAAGCCCGAGTCGGGTCCCGAACATTTGTCAACGGAGGATCTCATGCACCAGGATCTCCTGGCGACGGAGGTTGAGAGGTTTAAGACTCTTGCTGCCGAGAAGGAGGATGCAGAGAAGGAGCTGGCCGAGAAATACACACAGCTTGAACAGAAGCACCACGAAGCCCTGGATATGCTGGAGGAGCTGAAGACCGAAGTTGCCCAAGCAAAGGCATTGGAGGCGTCGTCGCCACGAACTGGCCAACCCGTCATTCGCCGCAAATCCAGCCAAAATGTTATGATTATCGACCGCGCTCATCGATCTTTTGCGTCGCTCCGCAACATTGCCGCAGACAACTTCGAAGGCCAGCCTGATGTTATGCAAAACTTCGAGCTTAACCTCAACGCAGCCATGCACGAGCTGCATGCTCGATCGGAGCGCATTCAGGAGCTTGAGGCTGACATTGCGTCCGCCAAGAAAGAGATGGAGACTAAGATGGCTCTGATTTCTGGGCTCACTCGTGAGCGATCTAGTTTGCAGGCGTCTCCGATGGACATGTCGATGATCTCCACCCTGAAGAATCAACTCGAGGCCAACGAGAAGCAGATGGCAGAAATGAGAGAAAATCACGAAGCCACCGAGAAGAAGCTTATGGCCGAGCTCGAAACATTGCGCACTGCTGTGAGGGATGCTCCTGCTGTGGGTGAAGCCCCTGAAGGTACTACCGAGACCGTGGTTGCGACCGCCGCGGCCGGCGCCGTTGCCGACATCCCCATGGCATCGACCGAGATGACCAACACCGAAACGAGATCTTTGCAGACCACAGAGGAGAACGACAAGAAGATCACCGAATTACAAGCCGAACTCACGGCATGGGAGACGAAGCACCAGACTGCCCTCAACACCTTACAAGAGACTGAGACGAGGATGAAGAGGACCATCGAAGAGCTCGAATCTGAAATTGTAGCGCTGAACACGCAGGCCTCCGCGCACTCCACTGCTCGGAGTGCTGAGGAAGTCAAGGAAATCGAGGAGAAGCACGAGACGCTGGTCAAGTCACTTCGCGACGAGATTGACGACCACAAGGTTGCCATCTCCACCAACTCTAGCAAGGTATCCGAACTGGAAGCAGCGCACGCTGCCACCAAGACGGAGCTGGAGGACGTCATCAGGGCACGTAACTTGCATGAGACACAGGCGAAGACGCAGCAGAGCCTCATTACGAACCTGGAGAACCAGATTACAGCCCACGAACAGGCTCTCAAGACACACCAGGATGGTATGAAGCTGCTTCAGGAGAATCACGCAAAGGAGCTAGAGGAGATGAAGCAGATGGAGCAAAAGGGGTACGAGGAGCAAGTCGCAGTCCTACTCAACGAGCATGCGGAAAATGTCAGGGCCCTCGAATGCGAGCTTAATGACGCCCGGGAAGATCTCATGAAGGTCGCTACCCAAGTTGCATTCGCTCTTGGTCTCGACGTCAGCATCGAGAAGATCACAGAGCGTATCGACGACTTGATTGCCGACCAGAAGGCCTTGGGCGAGGAGCAGAAGAAATCGAGCGCATCTGAGAAGCAGGTTGCCGAGTTGTCGACCGTTAACGACAACCTGGTCAAGGAACTTGAGCAGGCCAAATCGACGCTGACCGATCTCCTTACTGCGGAGGGTGAGCCCCTGAAAAGCCCTGCTCCTCTCCCCGATCAGCTGTCTGCTATTCGTAAGAAGATTTCAGACCTGCAGAGCCGGAACAAGAAGAACTCTCGCCTTGTGGAGGAGCTCGAGGATCAGCTACAGAGCAACTTTGATCAGGTCCAGATAACCAACAACCGCCTGTCCACGCTGCAGACAGAGCGCAACTCGCAGATTGAGGAAGCTCAGGCTGCCAAGTTCAAGGCTGAAAGCGAGCTTGATTCACTCAAGGCCGAATACGCGGCCCTCCAGGTATGTGCCATTCAAGTAGCTCGTTCTGTTTCAACTGCTAATGTAGTACAGGCCAAGATTGACGAAGCGTCGGCTTCTGGCCAAGTCCAACGATCCAACTCGATCAGCTCGCCGCTGCGGAAGAGCGCCTCTGTTGCATCTCTGCCCTCTCCACCCCCGGCCATTCCCTTGCCGCCGCTGCCCGGCGCGTCGTCCGGCCCCAACGGCACGGTGCCAAGCACACCCACTCAAGCAGGTCGACCAGGCAGCAAAGACAACATGGGCCCTGTCAACCAAATCCAAGAAGACCAGGAGGCTCGCATCCGTACCATCGAGAAGCATCTTCAGGCCGAGAAGCAACTCACTCAGACTCTGGAGGAGGCCCTCACCGACCTCGAGCGCCAGTCGAACAAGGTCAAGGCTGACAGTGATGCTTGGCGCAAGCGCTGCGTGGAGTTGGAGTCCGAGGTCAAGGAGCTCAAGGACCGTCCCGCGCCTACGCCGCAAGCCGACAACCGCTGGAGCTTGCACGCCGTTGAGGAGGAGCGCAAGAAGCGCCAGGCAGCCGAGGCACAGCAGCGTCTTCTTGAAGAGCGCATGAATGCACTGTCCAAGAAGAAGAAGAAGGGTTCCCTCAACTGCTTCTAGTTGAAGCCTTGTTGCTGGAACCTCGCATCTCGGAGGGACCGAGTCCGACTAGATTGACCTGTCTCGCATCATGGACATCAATTGGGCCGGGTTTTTGATTGTTGTTTTTTTCGGCGTGACAGGGCGTTTTCTTGATTTTCGTTTTTGCCGTTTACACTACCCCTCGCACCATATTGTATTTTGCGTTTGCGGCATTTTTCATGCTGGCCGACGATGATTCCCCTTACGCATGGCGAAACCCAGAAAGATTGGGCAGGAGTTTCTCATACTGGTGGCTCGTACGTGCTTTTTCTGCTGGGAGGGTATTGACGATGGACCACTCCTCTTTTTCAATACCACTACGCGACTTCGCCCATACGATATGCACCATCCAACCCTTCACTTCTCTTTGTTTCTATTCTAATTATTTCTCTTACATAACATTTTGTTTTTACGAATAGCAAGACCGACGTCGTGCACTAATGACGGCACGAGGAAGGATGATGGCGGATGGGATGGTGATGGGTTGGAGACGGACCGGTTGCGTTTGGTGGCGGTCTCTCGAGGTGTTTGCGAGGCCGGGCTGGCTGCCTTTGGCTGCCTGATTACTCAAAGATGGTCCTGAGAGACACGACGAGGGGGTATTAGACACCTTGGCTAATCTAGTTTTTGGCGCCCGCTGGAATGCCGTCGGTTGAATAAAAGTGGCTTGGAAGTTCACTCGTACTCCACGTGTCGCGCCTCGTGCCGCGCCTTTGCATTGACGATTAAAAAGACAGGTCCGTCCGCTTTGTGACCTTTCGGACTCTTTCGATGTTGAGACACGTCTGATTCAGGATCTTGACTGTATCTGCCTTCACTCTTCTTCAGAGGGGAGAACATCGGGAAACCAGCCGTAGGAACTAAAGTCGACCTGGAACTCGCCCATTGCCGTCCGCGAGACCTCGACGTCCTCGGCTTGTAGGGCTTCGGCTTGGTTTCGAGCACCTGACGGCTGGGAGCTAATGAGAGATGTGATGTTAGATGCGTTATGTACGTAAGTGAGCGTGAGTGCGATGGTGCGAAAATGGGTTGTAGGAGTGGGTAGTGAGGTGGATGTACCGTGGCGAAATGGTTCCTTTGGCGTTGATGACGCGCTGCCATGGGACGTTTTCGTTGTTGAAGCGGGATGCTGGGTCTGTGGGGAGGTGTTTGAGGCAGATGCCTACCTGACGGGGACGTTCGGCTTTGAAAGTTGTTAGTTGTTACCTGACAGGTTTTCTACATGAATGTCGCGTATAGTGCATGAATCGTGAGAGGGATGAAATTTGATGAATGGGGTTCCGGGTGAAGAGAGGGGGAGAGTGCAGGGGCGGAGTGAGGGAAGGAAGGACCCACGGGTTCCGACGAGTCTGGCGATGTGGCCGTAGGTTGTGACTTTGCCGACGGGAACTTCTTGCACTGCGGTGTAGACTGCGTGGAAGAAGGCTTCCGCCTCTTCTGTGCGGGCCATTGTTAAGAAAGACTGTTGGTGGGCTGTGGAGATTGGGAGGTTGATGGTGGGAATCGGAGTGGTGATGAGATGAATGTGGACGATTTGGTGAAGATTGGTTTGGTGTTGTGCTGGACGTGAAGTCACTACTAACAATTATGCCTGGATTAGCGCGGGAATGCATTGGCCTGATTGGGCAGGAGATGGATGCACTTTTGTTGCTACTTCACCTCACCTCTGCAAGCGCTCCGCAGATTAAGGTAGGTAGCAGGCGCATCACTTACTCTTCCTCCTAGGTCAATAAGAATCATTGTGGTTTTCGAAATTGAATTTCATAGCCCATGAACTATATCTCCATGTTGTTTTAAGAAATACCATCGGTGATTGCCTTCATCTTCTTGGTGTCTCATGGTGTTGGTTCCTCCCAGCGACGACGTGCACCGCCGGCCAATTACATGATCCCCTGAGACGCAGCAAGATGTATGGGCAGAGCCTCCTGCCATCGCTCAGCCCAGCTCAGCCTGCTTCTAGACACCGACCTTACCCCTCTTTTCCATCTCTGATGTTGTTCACCGGGAGGTCACAGTCAACATCACCAAAGTTCGCCAACGGTTGATCAGCCCGCCGCTTTTGTTACAAGCAGAAGGTCACCCTAACAGGCGAGTAGTCTTCCAACATCCTTCTTGTACACTAACTAACGTCGTCCAGACCTCAAGCATCGCGAGCGAATACCACAAACTATACGACGACCGACCATGTCCGATCCAGTAGGCTTCAGCTTCCAAGCCGACGTGGTGAACACGGCTTCTCTGGGACACGTCTTGACCGGGCGACTGCTCAAGGCCCTAAGCGATGGAGGTGTCGATACGTATGCCATGTGGGCAGCTGTACAGCTGGGAAAGCGTATACCAGTCCAGGATCTGCACCAGAGCTCATTGTATGCCCACATCATGTCGAAGAAGACATATCAATCGGTCCTATCCAAAGCGCTCAGCATCGGTTGGGGCCACTCGGCACCTGTGGCAGATTTGGCTCGAACTGTTGCTGGGACCAATGCTATCATTCTGATTGGCGCCCTCTCAACGGGATGCCAAGCCTTTGCGGCCGCCCAGTGTCTATCTGAGGTGATGGCAATCTACGGACTTGAGGCTGATATGCTGCCGAGTGTCGATGTGCTCAAGGGTTTGGTCAACTACTTGGCCCCATTCACCCAAGACCTCGGCTTCTCGAAGGTTTTCCAGCATATAACGAATCTTGCAGAGCGCGCGATCAGACTGGAAAATAGAGCCGTAGTAGGGCAGAAAAGAAGTTCCAGCAGAGACGGAAATGACATCTCCGATTCTCTCAATCAGTTCATAGGCATGGGTAGCGCTGCTTCCCTAGCTGGCGCCATCAAACAGCTCATTCACACATCTCAAAAGAAGCAGAGAGATTACATGACGCCCAAGATGCGCGGGTCATGGCTCCCAGCTTTTGCGAGCCATATACTGGGCATGGCTGTGGAGGTTCGTTACAATCAAAAGATTGTATGGGCTAGCGGTGGTGAGCATGGGCACATTCTCTTTCAACTTGGTGACGAGTCTACAGCCCACGACGCTCTTCAGTTATTCTCACAAGTCAGCGAAGTGATTGAAGACGACTACAACGAAGAAGGCGGTGAGCCCTTATTGAGGGTTGATTGTCTGATCGGAGAGGCCCTTGAAAGTCAGATCTACAAATGGCCGGAAATCGACAACGATGTCGCTAAATCTATTCGACATGCGATAAGATTTCTATCTTTCCACCTATTTAAAGAACTCAAAACCGGTTTTGACTCGCCCATGGACAGAACTTCCGCCTATTCTATAAAAGTGCCATTCGATGGTATGAGGGCATTGGAGAAGGTTTTGAATGTAATGGGCATTGATGTCGACTTGGACGAAGAAGCCCCAGCCTTTCCCCCCAGCCTCAACCTGGAAAACCCCGTCATCCTACAAATGACCAAAAACGAGGAGGCTGTCGTGGAGTCCCAAGGCCTTATCTTCCTTAACCCGATAAGTATAGTAGCGGTTGCTAAGAACTGTCGTATACATTCGTCAGCCTTCTCCAATGAGTCAGGCGCTAGCGAAAGGCGAGGGAGAATCGATTTGAGGACGGGCAAAACTAAACGCGCCAAGAAACGCATCCCTCCATTCCCTTGTGCCTGTAGGGCAGTCGGAAGGCTGATTTACTCTTTCGCGGCTACAGCCCTAGCGCTCATGTTTTGCACATTTGACGCCACGGAACTCAGAGTGCTGGAGGAAGTCATTGCGGGAGATATCATGACAAGCTGGATTCAACAACTCGTCGACGGTGGGCACATGGGCTTCCCATGTCAAGTCTTTCCGGAAGAATTCACGACAAGCTGGAACCCAATACTCGAAGACGAAACGTCCCTCTCTCTATCACCTTCATTCATCGATGAGAGAGAACCAGGCAGGGAGAGAAACCCAAGACGCTCCGGCAAATTGGTACCGTCGGACGAAGACATCTTCAATCACCTTGGGAAACTTGTTTGTTCTGACTATGCAATTAGATGGCTAAGTCCGACCGAAAACTCCACAGAAACAAATATCATTCTTGGGGTCTCGGGAAGAGCCTTCACCATCTACTACGCATGTATATTAGGAACTGACTGTTTTGATGTGTTTGGTAGAACCATCCACATTCGGTCCGGTCGGGCATCGGTGGCCGGAGCGTTTCGCAATGTCATTGTAGAACGACTATATCCTGACATGGAAGGCAACGGCTCTGATCCCACCAACGAGCTTGCAGAGGTTGTCTCCTTAGCGACCGGAACCACACTGGGACCACATCACAGACCTCCAGAAAGTAGGATTGCCATGGATGTGATTATCCAAGAAGAGATCGTGTATGTCCAATTGAAACTAGCAGGAAAGACGTCAGGACCAGTGAAAGTCTCCTTCCAGCGTTGTATTTCTCGACTCACATCCTATTGGGCTGTTCCTAAATGCAATCATGAGAAAGATGGGCTGTATACTTTGGAAAATGACCAGGATGTGGTATTGAGTGGTTTCCAAGTGGCTTCTTTACGCCGACGAGACGCCGCAGAGGTGCTGGTGTACGCTTTACACGGGAATACGCTTGAACAGCTTCTTGTGTGTGGTTTGATGAAACGTGAGGTGGATAGATGGGTAGGACCTCCTGTTGAAAGGCATGTTGTCACTGGGCGTTGTGTCATTCAAGCTTCAGCTTGCCTCACGTGCTGCATTCGCTTGGCTCGCCAACCCGGTTATCTTCCGTGTATCGTAATGGGCGGTTGATAAGGAGCCAGTATCTTTCTGCGATGCGAATACTTTGTAATATCATGCACTCTAGGTTATTACAATCGCAATCGACGTTCGAAAAAGACAGAGAAGGCCGATCTCGCCTCTTGGTTGGATTATCATACTCATGGCAGATGTTTCCTCATGTCACAATTGTTTGGGAGCCAGATTGATTGAGCTGGTAGTGAAGAAAACTTTTCTATGGGGACGATACCGAGAAATATGTTGATGAAACATTACACTTCTTCTACATATACACGTACCATGAGCAGGGCTACAGACCAAGCCATTACCAGGATATACTCAGGGAGAGAGGCCAGGCTTTCCGCTGATTCTCTGTCGTGAAAAGGCTCGTCACTGGGCTAGGAACTCTGTATTTACCTACGTGCGACAACGAGTAATTCAAGGCAACTGTTGGTATCCCTATCACAGGGATATTGGTCGATTGGTTCGAACCGTGGTTTTGACGAAGTAGGTCAGTTGACTAAGGTATATGATTCTGCTGCGTAGGTGTAGAAGGGAAGTTCCAACCGTAGGTTGGGCAGGCTGCGATAATCAGAAGTAGGGCCCGTAATTGGCCCCTGCGCGGGCTGCCGTACGTCGAGGTCGAATTGGACTTCCAATCCGACAGCAACATACAGCGGGCCTTAGATGACGGATCTCGGTAAAGTGTACATGCAAATTTGGCAGCTCTTATACCCGGATCCCCAGGTGACTATTGCCGTACGACCATGCTGGATCAACGAGTTCGGTTTCGGTGCAGAACATCCCGTCGACGGACCCGTCGTGATGATTGGAACCACTTAGATGCCATTAGACAGCTCCGACGTCGCATTGCCGACGCCGGACTTGGCCCGACGCCCCGCGTTCTCAACTCGACCTCTCCCCGGATCCACACCCATGGGGGCGGGGACGGTACGACTCGGATACTGAATACGAGAAATCAGTGAAGAAAGCCGAAACAATCTCTTTCAAAACCCCCATTCCTCACACCTATTCAACTACGCAACTTCAAGTCTCAGATTCATCTCGCACATCAAATTTCGCCTTGATCATGGAATCATTCATAAAATCCAGGGAAACCCGACCTCAACTCCTTCAGAGCCTCTTAGCCGCTCTTCCTCCACTCGACAAGTCCCTCGAAGAATTCCGCGACGTCGCAACTCTCCCAGATGGCTACAAAATTGATCTCCAAATTGTCCGCCCGCGCGGCGTAGACGAGTCGAACGCGGACCGGCCTCTCATCCTCCTATGGCCAGGTGGTGGTTTCATCGTTGCCGGCGTCGAGCCGACGACCCGCCCCGCGCGGGAATTTGCGCTCGAGTTCGGCGCTGTAGTGGTCAACGCGACTTACCGTCTCGCGCCGGAACATAAATTTCCCAGGTCTGTCAAGGACGGTTGGGAGACTGCTGTATGGTTATCGAAGAATGCTGGTCGATTCGGCGGGGATATCAGCAAGGGCTTTATTGTCGGCGGGTGGTCTGCTGGTGCGAACATTGCCTCGGTTGTCAGCCAGAGGTCCGGTGTCGAGGGGCTGGGGATCACTGGCACGCTTCTGGGTATTCCGTTCCTGCTTGTCAAGGAGATTGTGCCAGAGAAATACGCCAAGGAGTGGGTTTCTCGAGAGACCAACGCCGAATGGAGCCCGACCTTTACTACCGCTGTCATCAACGATGTGTCGAAGGCGTTGCAGGCGGAGATCAAGTCGCCATGGTACTCGCCTTTCAACGATCCTGAGGCCATTCCTAAATCACCCAAGGCTTATATTCAGGTTGGCGATCGAGACCCGTTGAGGGATGATGGGTTGATTTATGCCAAAGTTTTGAAGGATAATGGGGTTGAGTCAAGAGTTGATAACTATCCTGACTGGGGACACCAAGGCTGGACTATCTTTGCTCCCGAAGACCAGCCTGCGGAGCTAGGGCCGAATACGATGAAGGGAATGAGGTGGCTGTTGGGGAAGGACTAGACTTCAACCTATAGAAGCGAAGTATCAGATCATTGTAGAAGGCTATGATAAGGCTATAGAATGTGTGCAGGGCAACATAGATGAAAGTAATGCGATGTCAGATCAAATGCCTCTAGCTAGTGATGCATTTAATTCTTTCAAGACAGATCGAGCTAGTCATTCTTCGCGGTGGACTGGTGTCATCATCTAGTAAATCTGTCTTTGCTCCCAGCTTTGTGATGAAACTCTGGGTTTCTTCTACTTCACTGAACTTGAGAGAACACCGTGCAGACATTTTGGGTTCCATAGGACCAGCAGGACCAAGCGGGCGCCGTCCGTCTCTTGCATCGCAGCTGCAAGTTGAAGTATTCTTTAATTCAGTTCAGATGTAGTCAGAGGATGATGCTCGCCTCTCTAAACTTCTCAAACGCCTCCAGCCAGCCCTGAACAGGATCTCTCTCCTCGGTGAATCCCACAGACCTCAACCTCTGCAAGCTAAGCTGTCGATCGAAAGACAACCAGTACCCAACGCTGTCAAGCTGGACACTTCCACCCCCAACGCCAGCAGTGACAGCTCTACCACAGCCCTGTTCTTCGAATATCTGCCTATGTTTCTTGACATACTCCCCAGGCTTCTCTGCATTGTCGTTTTCCCTCGGTCCAACGCCAACCAGTCCGAACCAATCAGCGATCGATGGCCATAGGTCACTAAACTTGGTAGGCTGCTCTTTGTCGGCCATGTTGATGACCTTTGTACCGCACCTGTCCCCATGAAGTGAGGCGTGTATGGCGATGCGACCAAGAATCCGAGAAGAGACGGGAGTGCAAAGGCTGTTGTACCCCGCCTGGTTTCCAGGGAATGAAACTTCAACATTGGACTTGGAGTTCTTGCTCACTCCGTGATTATAGGCGTAGAGGGATAGGTACTGCGCCCAGTGGAGTGCCAACGAGAAACCGGATCCATTCGGGGAGAATCCAACTACCGCGTCTGGGCATACTTCTGACCAGGTCCACGGCTTGCCATCGCTCGCCTTCGTGAGGATCTTACGCCACCAGGGGTACGCGACGGTCTTTGCGTAGTCTTCGGGGAGATTGTCTGCCATTGATTCCTCCAAGGGGGGCTTGAAGGTACCGCCAGGTGTGTAAATCCCGTAGCCCTGAGTGATGTTTGTCAGCTTTATATTATGGTATGATGGGAGATGAGGAAAACTTACTCTGGTTCCGCCAGAGTAGACAAATGCCTTGAGGTTTGTCGACAACGTGGTCACCGCATCGACCACCGTCTGCATCATACTACAATTGGTCTTGCACTCGGCAACATCATCCCCATCGCCCTGATTGAAGACTGTGATAACGGCCAGAATATCAGCTACATTCTCCAGTGAATGAAATTGTCAGACGGGATACAATTCTCACCGAAATAGAATACATGGGTGACGCCCTCGATCCCATCGACTTTGCCCTTGAGCTGCGAAGTCAGGTCTTCCAGCGTCCCAGTAAGGTTGACATCAGAAGCGATTTGTAACTTGGGCCTGGTGGGCGACGCTGGTGGCCAGAAAGAGTCAGATTCTGACAGCGGTCTGTTCATCACAGCCGTGACATTCTCGAAGGAGCCCTCTGAGGGGTAGTTAGAGAGCAGCTGCTCGACAGTCGCCCAGCCGAGCAGGCCAGAGGCGCCAAAGACGATAGCGTGAGTTGATTCTGACATTTTGCAAATATCGTGGGTGTCAGCTGTATGGAGAGTTGGAAGTGGAATGAAAGACGACGTCCAAGGTAGAACAAGGGAGAGCTTCGATATATACTGTACGTGTAGTACTTAGTAGAGCCATCAAATTCCTTGGACTGGCAGGAGCGATCGATGCACGTGCATGCCTAGATTGTTCAGGGTCCAAGCCGATCTACTAGTCCGCTAGCAACCAATGAGAGTCGCACGTTACACACTGAGCCATGATGATTCATAGTGAGTTTTCAGAGTAACTAGAATATAGTTGTATCTAGTGTGTAAGCCGCCGGGTCTTGAAGGATCCGTTTTATAGAATTTGTGCAATCCGTGGGATCGGGGAGCACGGCAACATTTCAATCTTCATCATAACGATCGAGGCGGAACTCTGTCCAGATTCCTTCATCCAGCTCGCCAATCATGGAAGGGCCAGACTGCTCGATCCGCTTGCCCACTGATTTTCGATACGAGACGATTCTCTCCTCATCAATCTCTCCGCAGGCAAAATTGAAAAAGAAAAAAGGATTGGAAGTACCGACTCCGGAAATTGCTGAGTTTCGAGATGAGATCAAATAGCTGGGCGATAAGATCACCGAAATGAAGTCCGATCTTCTCATGGGTCGATACAGTGGCCAAGGTAAGTAAATGACTTTAATTGGGTATCGTAATGGCATTCATATTCAACACCGTGCTAAGCATATCTCTCAAGTCCCATTCCGACTTAGAGCAAGTCCGCATTTCAAAGCTGGGTTCAGGTAGGATGCATTAGGTCTGTAGAATCCGGGTGATTTGAACATCAGTTCTCTCCCCCACTCTCTCCCTCTCCTTGCCTCGCCTCCCATCTTCCCCATCAACTCCCTCCAAAAACCCCCAAGCACCATATCGAGACGGCTTCTCTCACGGCATGGCCACCCAAATTCCACTCATGAAGAACAACGCACCGGCACAGACAAAGATGATGTGCGTAGAGGTATCAAGCGGCTCAGCAGGCGGGATGTTTGAAAACTGCAACACGGTGCGGATCGAGAAGTTGTTCGCAGCCTCCTGGATCGCCAGCGCCGTCAGGTTTCCGCAGGCCTCGTTCAGCGCGCGGTCCATGATGACGGTCGGCAGCTTGAGGATGGCGGTGTCGAGGACCTCGGCGTTGAACTGGTTGCCGTTCGGCGAGGCCTCGAAAAAGGTGGCGCGGTAGGTGCTGTTTGCGCCGACGGTGGAGAGGTTGGCGATGCGGGAGTACTCGCCGCACGACATGATGGTTGACTGGGCGGGCGTCGTGGGGTTTGTCTGGCGGACGACGACGGCGGGGCCCGGGGCCGGGACCTCGATTGCTTTACCGAAGGCGGCGGTGCTCATAAGGGAGACCGCCAGGAAGAGGTTGGTGAAGATTGAGTGCTGCATCTTGACTTTCGGTGGCACTTGTCCGCTTTGATGTCGAGCTTGAGCGAAAGGTGAGATGGAAGAATAGATGGTATTGTATTATGAAAGTAGACAAGGGTAGTGTCGAGAGAGCTTCAAGTTTAACTGAAAGGACCGCGACAGAAACCAGCCGATAAAGTTCAATGACAACCCAAAAGTTTAAAAGTGGCCGGCCACTGAGAAGTGAAGGAATACAACCCCAAAAGGAAAGAAGAGAGGAAAAAAGAAGGATGACTCGTTCAAAAATGAGGGAAGAGTGGCAGCAGACAACTAAAAAGAGAGGGATCAAGGAAGTCTGTGTCGTTATATGTGCCATAATTGACATGGAGGGGAGCATTGGGAGGGGGGACACACTTCTTGTTAGTGCAAGGGGCTGGAGCGTCTGAGACGAGATGACACATTTGGGATCTCAGATCAGACGGTCTGGTGTCTTGGGTGAAAGCCACGCCAGAGACTTGGGACGCCGCGGCTAGCTTATCTCTTCGTATATGATTGTGCACGTTCGAAGTTGTTGGATCCTTTGGCGGAATCGTTTTCTGTTCTGTCGAACTTGAGTTCGAGAACAGAGAGTTTCCATAGTCTCCAGTCTGCAATACGACCATCGAGAGAATAAGCTCAGCAAACGGGGCCATACTGAGAGTCCATGATCGCCAAGCAGGGTGTCTCACAATTCTCCTCCCCCAAGCACAGACCAATCAACCACAACAAAAGATTGTGGACGATGTGGTCCGGCTGTGGCCCCCTCCTGTTTGATCCTCCCTCTGGCACGACGGTCGATGTTTTTGGTCGCCACCAGCATGACGAGCCCGAGGCATCGAGCCAGTCGGACGTGAATTGGTCCTGATGGGCCGAGAAACCGACCACCGTCGTGTTACCAGGTATTTGCCTGGTCTAACGTCCGGCGTCATAAGACCCAGAACGACATTAATTGGAACTTGGCTTTGGCAGGTTTACTGGGGTGGCTAGGGCCACAGCTAATCGGGGGCTGCCTCACTGAAGGAAAACTCTCGTATGGTCGTCAAGTGTCATTATCATTATTCGTCAACGGCTAATGCCATCCTGTCATTGCCGGCGTCTACGTGCCGCAACTCCCGTAAGCCTCCCGAGCCCTTGAACCGGGGGGTGGAATCTCGCTTCAAGTCCCAGACCTTTAACGCCTATCAAGCAAAGCCCCCAATGTTCCCTCTATGCCGCATCCCGTGCGAGTCTAGTCATCGTCGAGTATCGCAGACACAACCGCCCTCCTGGCCTTCTTGCCCTTCCCCTGAACGGGCTTCTGCATCTTGCCGCCCAAGCCACCCAAACTCAACGGCTTCGGCTCAACGGGTATGACACCGCACTTGATACTCATACTCGCAAAGAAGCCGCCCACGGGCCGTAGTTCGTCCTGAAAAACAGCAACGTTAGAAAACGCGCTGCACCGCTCCCCGCGAAACAGCTTGGCCTCGCATCCGTCCGCCTTGTTTCCCATAAAGATGCCGCACTGCGCGGTGCCCGGTAGATTGTAGCACTGCCCGTCCTTGGTCGTGAATGTCGGCTCCGTCGACGCGTTCTTCGGGAGCTCCATATCGACAAAGGACGCGCCGCGGCAGTTCTTGACGCCCGGCGAGCTGGGGAACAGCCGGACTGTGATCGGAACGGGCGGCTTTTGTTCTTGTGGTGGAGGGACAGTGGTGTTTGGCTGAGTAATGTCGACTTGGTCGGCTGTCGCTATGGGTTTCGGCGGTGCTGGTGGGGTGGGTGGGGGGTCGTCGCGGTCGACTACTTGAGGCATCGCGAGGACTGTTGAGGCGAGCCATGCCGCTACGAGGGCGGCTCGTACAATGGGATTTGATGATATTCGCATGATTCTTGATGTGATACAATCAAAAAAGATCTTTGAAGTTGTAGAGATTAGAGACTAATCTTGCGCTCGGGAATCTGTCCCATCAAAAGTTGGCGCACGCTGATGAGACGACGGCAAAGGCAGAACGCCAAGATGCATCAGCGGCGTTTCAGACCACCTCCCTACGCCAATCTGCACGGATACAATGCTGAAACACCGCTTTGAAGGCTTCAAAAGTCTCATAGATCTCAATTGAGAACATTATTTGATAGGGATAATGGGAAAAGATTGAATTAGAAGGTGTAACTAGGGCCTCTCCCCAATCCCTAGAACGGTATATGCAACAACACAACTTGGTATCTGGATCTATAATCTTTGAACAACAATTACTACACCTCATCAAGCACCATAACAAATGTGCGCGTCTTGGCCGCTTGATCAACTCTAACCGCTCTTAAGGACCGACTCAGCCGACGATCTCTGGCCATCACTCTTGCTCTCCGCATTCAGAATCGCACTCTCCACAGCCGCAGCAACATCAATGTGGAAGAATGGACGATTCATACCCTGCACAGCGGCAAGCTTGCCATCACCACGTCCCACAACCCTCGCAGCACCATCGTGACCCTTGCTCGTGGGAGAGATGACGTCCTCTTCCTCTTCGTCGCGGCTGCGCTGCGAGGTGACCCGGGGCTCGTGACCTGATCCAGAGTCCACGGGTGCGAAACTGTAGATGGGCTTCCACCGTCCAAAGTTGCCCTCATCCTTGACGGAGGGGAACCCGAAGCCGGCGGCAGCGAGGGCGCGGCGGGTCCAGCGGTTGTTGACGTTGGCGAAGTGCCATTCGACGACCTCGGGCTCGGCGTAGTGGTCTAGAGCGTTGCGGACATCGATGAGGCCTTGGATTGAGGTCACGTCGATGTTGTTAACAGCAGAGCAGTCTAGGATGATTGCGCGGACGATAGGGCGGGTATCGTCGAGATCGATCTTGGCGCCGCGGCGCGGACCGGGGTCGTTCCAGGGACGGTCCTATTGGGCGATTGTTAGATGAATGGTCAAGCGGGGTACAGCAGGTAGGTGAACTTACGCCGAGCTTCTCGTAGCGATCGAGAATTGTCCGTCTTGCGTGCTTCTGCACATAGGCGACCAGGGCATCCATGTAGTGAGCCTGGTTGGTGTAGTTGAAGCCCTCGCCGAACCGGTAAACAAAGACACCGGGGTACGGGGTCTGAACGTCGATGTTGGGGTTCGAGCCGTCATCCTTCTCGAGAGGGATGTAGCTCTCGCGGGCAGGAACATCGATAGCCTCGCCCCTCTCGTTGAAGGGAACGCCCTTGCCGGCGGTGTCCTTCGTGGCACGGTAGACCTTGACGCGTCCAAGGAAGTGACCCTTGGCCTTCGCGAGACGCACCAGCAGGAGGGCGGCAGATGCGCACATGGTCAGATAGATGCCGTTCTCAATGTTGGTGAAGATGGTGAGGAGAACGCCAGCGAAGAAGATGAAGACCTCAAGGGGCGACACCTCCCAGAACTGGTACACCACCTTAGGCGGCGTGATGAGGTCACCGACGGCGTGGATAATGAGACCGGCGAGGGTGGCCATGGGGATATAGAAGAAGACGGAGGTCAGGGCGTACAGGGCCAGGAGAACGATGACGGCAGTGAAGATACCAGCAAGGGGCGTGCGAACACCGGCCTTGGACTTGATGGCGGTACGGGAGAAGGATCCGGTGGCCGGGTAGGCGCCGAGGAAGGGTCCGAAGAGGTTCGTGAAGCCGACGGCGACGAGCTCCTGCGAGGGGTTGATGACGTAGTTGTTGACTCTTCCGAAGGACTTGGAAATGGCAATGTGCTCGATGATGAGGACGATGATGGTGACTGGCAAATCAGGGGCCACGGCACCAAGGAGCTCCGTGTCAATCTTAGGAGCGCCGGTGTGCTGGAAACCACTGGGGACCTTGCCCAAAATCTTGAACTTGGCCTTCTTGGCGTCCCAGTTGACGTGACGGTTGACGAGCCAGCTGATGAGGACGTATAGAAGAATGACAAACGCCATGCGGAGTGTCGACATGAAGAACCAGAACTTCTTGCGGTGGGGCTGCTTGTTCGACATGAAGTTGCAGAACGAGCGGATAGAGTATAGCAGAAACAAGGCCGTGAGACCCATCGCGGCGTCGAGTCTGGCGGTAGGCAGCGCCTTCAGGAAATCGATAATAACCTCGTACGTCGGGTTACGAGTGTTGACGCCCTGCAGACCGAGGAGGGCGGGAACTTGACCCGCGGCGATGCTGATGGCGGCACCGGTCATGAAGGAGGTGATGGCCACCAGCGGGATGAACTCGACGATCCATCCCAGGCGGACGAGACCGATGAACAGGAGGACGGCGCCGGAGATGACGGCCAGGGCTTGGGCGATTTGAGGGCCGTCGTATTGCGGGTGGGAGTCCTTGACGCGGAGCACGATGTTACCGACAAGTTGGGACATGACGGCGACGGTTCCGATTGTGATGTCCTTTGAGGTCGCAAAGGCCCAGTAGAGAATGAAACCGACAAAGGAGGTGTAAAGACCGTATTCGGGAGTCAATTGCGCGAGGAGGGCGTAGGCCATGCCTTGGGGGATGACGACGAAACCGACAGTGACACCTTTAGATGAATAGTTAGCTATCAAGGTATTCCGAGGTATTGGAATGAGATGGCAGATGAAATGGCATCACAAGGGCTCATTCAATGTGATATTTGAGCAAGCACCAGTGGCATCACATGAAAAACATACCAGCAATGATGTCTCCCAGAAGCCAGGTAGCATTGTAGTGGAAGATCCACGACCAAAAGGGGAACAGGCTCTTGATGTAGTTCACAGCGCCGTGAACCGTGGGCCGGTGCTCGTACAGGAACTCGGCGACGGTAGGTTCCCTCTCCTCATACTGCTCGACGGAGCGGAACGAGGCGGCGGCGGATTGGACGGCCTCGGTAGGCTCGTTGCGGTACCGGGCATCGACGTCGATACCGAGGCCCTTGGCCAAAGTTCTTCCGACCTTGCTCGACATGGCGAAAGGCGCGTCCGGAAGTGACGGTTTGCCGTGTGTAATGTTCCCAAGAGATTGATCCGAAGTAGTTGTCCCAAGGTATAGGAAACACTTGGCAAAGGGAAGACAGG